ATTTTGCACTTTGTATTACTTTTATCTTTTAAAAAAAATCTGTTTTGTTAATAGTTAAAATTTTTTACTTTTTCCTTTTCAGGGAGATTTCATTTCAGTAATACAGGGCCCCCTCTTGATTAAGTTAATTATTGTTTGACATAACCTTTAATTTAGCTCAAATTTTTGAAAATGAATACGCTGCCCCATCTGAGTATAAACTTCAATAATTTTTTGGAAGCATTTAAGAGGGGGATCCACTCATTAATGGAATTGAATAATCAATGACGGAAAATTTTCTTTTTGCCAATTTTTCTATCTTTTCCTAACCTTCCTTTTTATAATAACTTAATTTTTTGTTTTTACAAAATCTTCATTTTAAAACCCCGTGGTTTTTGCCCCTAACTTCCGGTGTGACAAACCCTTAGTTGCATGACTGCTTTTTTGACTGATCAAAATAAAAAGGTTTTCGATAAAAAGTAAACCAGTAGATAGTTTTATTTTTCAAAGCTTTTAGCTTAAAATCCCCAAAAATATACAATATCATATTTTTTAAAAAATTTTCAGACTTCATTTAAAAACAATCAAACTCGTTATTACTGTATTTAATACTAGATTGCATAGGCGATATATAAACTGGCCGATTAAAATACTAGATCATTATGAAACCAGAGAACTTGTTGCTAATTTTTGGGAAAAAATGTAACCGTTTTTATTAAATTGCTATAAAAGGATATTTCCTTTTAATAAATGTCATTTTCCGATTTATCGGGGGTTTTTGTTTATTTTTTGTTTTTTTTTGGCTTTTTTACAAAAGTTTTTTCCCTAAAAAAAATACTACTGTTTTCAAATTTGGGTCGGACACAAGAACTAGTCAATATTAACTTAATTTTGGGGAATAATATGTTTAAGTTTTTTTCCAAAGCAAACTTTCACCATACATTTTTCTAAGTGATAAAGTATATTATCAAATAAATCTTTTTTCCTTTTTTTTTCCAGCTGACCACCGATTTTTTTCTTTGTTTTTGTAGGGTTATTCGTCTTTTTTTTTGCAAGCTCTGTTTAAATCTAAACGTATCAGTCGATGTCGAACTTGGAAGATGAATTGTACAATAAATCTGAAGTAATTTATTTTCTTCCTTGTTTAAAGTGGATTGGTCTACAGGGGCAAAATTTCCTATAAGTATTTCAAATGTTGATAAAAAACAGAAATGTAGCATTTTGATATTGTTATAAAATATTTCTTGGAAAAAATGTTAATAGAAATTTAAGTGATACGTTTTTAAAGTTTAATGATGAAAAATGATATTTTGTACTAGAACAATTTATTATCTGCTATATAAGGATATATAAAAACGTATCGTGTATTTCACAATCACTGTCAACATCCGTATTATTTTGTTTTCAATTTCATTTACAATAACACTCATGCAGTTTGTATAATGTGCAAATCAAATATGAAAACATATAAAAGAAACAGGTCACTATGATGCTTTCACAAAACAAAAATAATTATTAAATATAGAGGACAACAATATAGATTTATGTTTGCAAGCTGATATGTCATATATTAAAAACTAGTTCTAAATTATTTTTTTATAATAAATAGACCACGTGGTTAAGGGAATTTCGTTTCAGTACTCTATCTTTCGTGGTTTTGTTGTCACATACAATATTAATACTCCAAGAATAAATATTATGTCATTAAAAAATTTTCCTAAGACCAATTCACTTTTTTTTTTTGGATTATTTGGATCAACGGGTTACGACCAAAAAAACCATGCGGGGAAATACCTGAAATAAACCATGGTTTGAAAAGGTAAGTTTTAGTTCTAAGTTTTAAAGAAATACCTGAAAATAAACCATTTTTTTTGAAAGGTTTTTTTAGTTCTAATTTTTAAAAATAACCGGGAAAAACCATGTTTTTGAAAGGAATTTAGTTCTAATTTTTAAAGAATATACTAAAGAATAAACCATGTTTTTTAAAAGGGTTTAGTTTTAGTTTAATGTTTTAAAGAATAAACCTGAGAAAAAACCCCATGTGTTTAAAGGTAATTTTTATTTTTAAATTTTTAAAGAATAACCCTGATGAATAAACCGTTTTTGAAAGGTAAATTTTAGTTCTAATTTTTTTAAAGAAATATACCTATGAATAAAACCAGGTTGAAAGGTAATTTATCTGTTTTTGTCAGTTGCAAAAAAACCCTCTTAAAGCCAGTAAAACGAAATCAAATCATCGTTTATTTTAGGAAAAAGTTCAACTCAATTAAAGTGAATTGGTCTTAATTTTAAAGGGCTGTTATACAATGAATTTTTACATAATTTGATTATTGATTACTAACAATCAACAAACCACGAAACAACATACTTGTTGGATGTAAGATAAAATGAAACCCGTTAAAAATTATAAACTAAATAATAAAATTTTGGGACAGAAAATTAAAATTGGGCATATTGACTATTTACGTCGTTTGAAATTTTTAGAAATATGAACGACTTATCACATGCTAGGGGCTTAAGTTTTACAATCTTTGAACACGAAAGCAGTTTGGAGTCGTCGTTGGTTTTACAACTATGAAAGGGCTTACTGCACGTGCTACGTCGTTTTTAATTATAACAATCTATGAACGCCTTTATGCACGTGCTGATGTCGTTTGAGGTTATAACAATCTATGAACGCCTTTATGCACGTGCTGGTGTCGTTTGAGGTTATTACAATCTATGAACGCCTTTATGCACGTGCTGACGTCGTTTGAGGTTATAATAATCTATGAACGCCTTTATGCACGTGCTGACGTCGTTTGAGGTTATAACAATCTATGAACGACTTACTGCACGCATTATCGTCGTTTTACTGTCTGATAAGACATAAGTTATAAGTTAATGCTATCGTCGTCTTGTATTAAAGTGAAGAGTACTTTGTCTGAATAAGTGAATCATATGATGCTTGAATTAGGGTCTTATTTGAGCGATTTTTATAGTATATATCAAAAAGATGTTGGGTAAAATCACCGAGAAAAAATAAAAAGGGGTGGATTTTATCGTGATTAAAATTAGTTTTTGGGGATTTTTCCATTTTTTCAACCAGGAAAAAAAGTGTTTTTTTAAAACGAAATAAAAAATTCTTTTAAGTACTTGTAAATACGAGTTTTTAAAACTAATATAATCTTTTTAAAAGTCCCCCTTTTTGAAAATCTAAATACTTTATTTTCATCTTTTTTAAAATTGGAAAGCTTAGTATTTTTTATAAGACCTACTTTTAAGGCGCAAATTGAACTACTTCAGTGAAAAATTGCAATTTTTATTGTTTCTGTTAGTCAGATATGAAGAAAAATTTTGATTTTTTTTTTGTTTTTTTCTCTAAATTTCCTAGTCAAACGAAAACACAATATAAGGGGGATCATAAAAAAAAATTTTAATACCGGGGGGGATTGGCATTTTGCTTTTCCCCCGCTAGTGGAAACTGTCTTTTAACCCTGCAAAGGCGTCGGTTTTGTTTCGGTTTTTACGTTCGATGCCTCGACCGAAGTATACGGGAGCCGTTGTTTTACGATAGGCCCCTTTCTAGTTTCTATAACTGTGTCGAAAATCAATTTTCTTTAAAAACTTTTCCGATACGCCCGGATTGCCGAAATTTTTAAAATTATTAACATAAAAATTTAAAATTTTATAGGGCCCTTTTTTAAAAATTCACGTAAAAGCGAACTTTTTTCGGGAATCGGCTTGTGTAAAAAGCTGAAGAATTTTAACTCGATTTTTAAAAAATTTGTTCTTTACCACGGGGCAGCTATTACATACGAAGGTGATTACATTAACATAGGATCACAGGAAGTATATATATAAAATTATTCTCTGAAAACTTCCAAAATATCGTTAACTTCAACATATGTTATATTTTATCGTGTTTACTGAGATACAGAAAGAAAATGATGGAAAAAATAAAAAGACGTTGTGTTGAAAAATACTTGTTATCTTCACTGTCTTTGTGAAACTTGGGAGTACGGATTAGGATTGTCGAACATTTAAACGAAGTAAAGAGTACAAGTGTGATATGTAACTATATTCCAACGACATTGCCCAGACTGTACAAACATGTCCCGTATTGTAGACTTGGACAGAAAAGGAAGAGAATTCACAATAAATAGTTCCAGTTTATTCATGAAAGCTGGGCTAAAGTTCAAACAATCGAGTTCAATGGCAACAACAGAACAGGGCGATACTCCTTGGGTACCTTCCACAGAGAATGTTTTTAAAGGATATTAAATCATTAAAGGAAATGAAAATCCCACGTCGGGTTGTTTTAATCTTGATGCATACGCTTTCGTCGGGTTACAAGCAGTCCATACATTAGATGTAAGCAAATCTCATCGTCTATTGATACAAACTTTGCTAAAAGCTCTGGAAGTGAAAAGTGCTTTGCCGGCATTACAGACTCTTATCATGTCTGATATTGGCACTTATTGGAGCAACGCTAATACCATTAATCAAAAAAGATGGGATTATTTGTACCGAGAAATATTACAAAAATTGATTTAAGCGGTACCCAGATGAACTTCGTCATTTGACCCCGATTCATAAAACACTCCACACTCTTAGAAAGTTTAAATATGTCATATACAGTTATGGACAATGTATGGACAGAAAATATCGTTGAACAAGGTGTGCTAAATTTGATGGTTTTTGACCTGGCTAATAGTATCCTACCAGCAAGAGCAATTCCTAATTTTCCAGGAAAATATGTTTTTGCCAACATAGCAATTAATATTTCCCAAATTAAAAATATTGAACTGAACAAAATCTTTACTACCCCTTTGATTTCGAATCTGAGCGGGATAATCCCTTCTGCAACATCATTATGGGGTTATAACATTACAATAACCATTGATGAGCCGCAAAACTGGAAGGTAAAAGAGCTGATTTTAAGAAATAACAATTTAAGATACTTAGATGTTCATTTTGTATGTCCAGTGTATAAAATAAGATCTGTCTTATATGTTGATTTATCACACAATGGTTTGGAAATGGTGTATCCTTGTGAGTGCACTCCTAATCTAGAAACATATTTTTTATCTAATAACAAATTGTTTGAAATGATAGGGAAAAGGCCGGACCGTTTTGGAAAGTTGTTTGCTTCTTATAGTAAACTGCGTGTCATCAACTTAGCAAACAATCGTCTCGGAGAAATTCCTAAACATATGTTCAAGCATAACAAAGAACTTGTTAAAATTGATATTTCTTTTAACCAACTTGAACAATTACACTTTAATTTGGTGGACTTGCATTATCTACGTGTTTTAGATGTAAGTAACAATAACATAAAAGTACTAGACGAGATATCCATTAACAATCTTAATGCAGTTCCCGGTGCAGGTTCGAACATATATGTGGACGAGCATTGTATAGTCGTAATGAAATCAAATCCATTGCTTTGTTCAACATGTGACTGCAAGTCGTCTATCCAATGGCTCCTTCAATCAATGGAGTTCCATTTGGAACAACAGGCGTTGGTTTGCATGTCCGATGATGGCACATTTAGAAAAATCGAAAAATCGGTTGTAAAAAGAATTCAGAATATATGTAACAGAAAACTTGTCATAATTACATCCACTGTTTGTATAATAGTTACTATTATAACGCTGTGTATAATTGGAATAATACTTCACCGAAGAATGAGAAGGCTGAAGCGAAAGAGGAAGTTGAAAAATGTTTTAGCCAGATTGAAAGAAGGTGAGGGACAGTATGAGTTTGTTGCTTTTCTGTCATACAGCAGTGATGATTATCAATTTGTACATGATCACGTGATAGACCAACTGAACGAGAACCTTCAATTGATCATTGAGACAGATCGAAGACTTTTGTGTACCGGAGACCAAGATGTTCGCCTTGGATTCAATGTTCCTGATGAAACAGTACTATGCCTGAACAGAGTTTCCGTGGTCAATAGTTCTTGTGTCAGATACATTTTGTCGGAATCTTTACTGTAAAAACGAGTTTGATCAGGCATTTTTACAGCAAAAACCCATCGTTTTCATGCGATTAGGAAATGTAGACGAGCAGTTAATGATGCCAACTTTGAAGAGTTTGTACAAGAATGGCGCCAGCATTCTTTGGGAATTTAAAAATGGAGAGCTTGTACTAAAAGACACATGGGAAAGTGTATGTTCTCTTGTGCTGGAAAAGGTGCAGGTTTAGTTATATATCTGTATAATGTAAAATGGGTGTTAAAAATGAAAAACAGTATGTTTTTTTTTTTTGTAAATCTACTCCATCATTTTATATAAAAATTGTAAGATTTGATTAAAATGTACAATGAGCGAGCATCGATTATATCTGAACAAGTGGAATAAAGGAGACGATGCAATAGTATAAGGTTATAATACATTGTTGAGTAATCGTTAAACCTTTGTTGAGTAATCGTTAAACCTTTGTTGAGTAATCGTTTAACCTTTATTGGATGATGCGATAGCCGAGTCAAATTTACTAAGGTTTTGCAACTGCGTACGAGTCGAATAGAATGTGAAGGGAACTCATCAATGTATAAAGAACGCTTAATATCACATCAACAAGAAAAAATAAAACAAAAACAGCAAATTTAAGAAACCCCACACAATCAACACTGATTTTTTGTATTATATTAAAGATACAAAATTTCTTTGTTTACAAATTAGATATAGATGATCGGACTAGAACAATGCAAATGAGACTAGATACAAAACGCATTTGAAATGGATATTTGGACTTGGGGAAATAAAAACGAGTCTGTATTGATAAGATTGAATTCCAAATAAGATAATTACATGGTTTCATTTTTTAAGGTGTGAAATAACATTAATTATTGCACTCAACAATGTTAGAGTATGATAACCTCTGTCCTCAAAAATACTGACGTATTCAAAAATACTGACGTATCAACCCTTTTGCTAGGTGAGTCGCGGCACCAAGCTTTTAAATATTCATTAACTTTCCTTTATAATTCAGAGAGAAAGATATATAAATATAATTCAGAAACAGAGAATACAACATTTTGTTCAGCCTGTAAAATGTATGTCATTGCTTTCATATGTAATATATGCATGTAATGAACAACTTACTTGGAAAAAAAAAGAAAACATATAATGCAAACCATTAAATCAGCGAAACAATAGACTGACCTACTTCAACTGACTTATATTGGGAATTTTCATATTTATTTTTCAAAAATGATTAACCAAGCGTTGAAAATACATCATATGCTGTTGCAGCATTGAAATTTACATGTATAATATGTTTAATACGTAATACCGTTTTCACTGTTTTTGTTTGTTTGCTTTTGTTATATCTTTTTAAGGTTTTGAATCTAGTAAAACCTTATTATATCACATAACCATGTCATAATCTGTATCATATTGTATTGCATTTCAATTTTGTTTATGATTCAGGAATGTTAGTTGAAATATCATTATAAGTATAACGGACCTGAATGAATCGTTTAGTATGGGCTAATGGCGAAAGTATCGTGATAATACGAAAAACATGCTCGTTTACTTTCGGCATACCTATTTTGGTATAATTTTTTGTCATGTAAGAAGGTTCTTTTTACCGTGACGTCATTTTTTTTTTGGATAACATTTAGATATAAGATGTCGTCCTGAATTAATGTTAATTAGGGTCTGTATTCCTTAAGCTGTACATTGTATACATTACCTTGATTTTGTATTGTTATTGTAAATATTGTCTTATGTAAATAATCTGATTCATATTTAAACAAGAAAAAATGTACTGTTTGTTTGATTTATGAATGTGGGCGGGCTTAGCAGTTGGCGTCGATTATTTCTTGCGTGAACAATTCCTTAATTCTCAAAAGATGCCAATTAAACATTCACAAAACTATTGTCAACAAGTGTCCAGGTGTTTTGTGATTTGATCTTTTTGGGCTTTGAACCAAATTTTCGAGTAGATATTTCTTGGGTTTTGTGATTAAATATTATTATAAGTATTATAGTGACACCCATGCATAAATGAACTCAACTTTCAAAATAAAAGAAATTCAAATAGTTTTTTTCAGCGGAAATCTATGTTTTGTGGCTAATCTATGTTATTAATTGCATGTTTACATAGAAATGGGTGTTGCATTTTATTTTTAAACATCACGCTATTAAGTATATTTGTTGCAATTATGTATGCAATACTGGTGTATATATTAAGCTTATTGCCATTTCCAACTACTTGAATGCCAGTGATTAAACTTAAAACATACATTTTGTTATTTTTTCTTTCAAATATTACTTTTGAAATAAAAATGTTTTTATTTCAAACTGAATTTCCACCAAGGGCTGTAAGTTCTATCCAGTAAGTTGACAAAAATGCCGGTGATTCTAATCAAGTACGCGCTATGATCGATATGATTATTTTAGAGGTACCTTAGATCTTCCTCAAGCAGTAAAACTTGAAAGTCACCATTTTATAAATACACTTTTTTGGGGGGAGGGGAGGGGTTTTCAATTAACAAAACCACACAGACATTTTATTCTACTTTAACTGGAATTGAAGAAAGATAAGGCATAATCAGAGAAGACTCTCGGCAAATGTCACCTGCTAAAAGATTGTTAACGAAATAAATGAAGCACTGTTTAAATATGACTATAATAAAGAATTTGGATTAAATAAGAAATTGTATATAGAGATTTAAAATATTGTTGTAGGAAAACTAGCATCTGCTAAAAAACAAGGCAACAGTGTTATATAAATGGTGAACTATGGTGAACTATTAAGTTTTTGACCTACACAATATACTTATTCGTCCAAAAAATAAGGACAATTTGAAATTTTCTGACTTTTACCAATTCACCGTCTTCCACAGCATCAGCTTTCATCTAACCATTTAGACATGTAATATCGCCATCTATTTTCGCGCATACGAAAAGTATGGCAACGACCAAAGAAACGCTTATAAGCTTTAAGAGGTACGAGAATTTAAAAAATGCTAGTAATCGCCATTCAGCGGAGTATTCGATTTTTTTCTCTCTCGTCAAATAGACACCTAACTGAACGACAGAGCCAATGTCTTTCCTTTAAGAGAAATAATCCATATATTGTTTATCTGAAGGAACCACACTAAGAAGATAGTATTTCAATTCTATACATAGGCAACCCGACAAAAACAAAACAAAAACAACACCAACGAAAAACAAAACAAACAAAAAACAACACAAAAACAAAAAAAAGTGGCGCATGGCGTGCCCCATAGGCGCCCCTTTTTGAGATATTTTGTCGTCTATTTTGTTTTCATGTGGTATTAAATTTTCCGTTTTGTTTGTGGTCAGATCATGCGATATATTAAAATTAAACAGTCAGAAATGTTCATAATTATGTATAATGATTGGACGAAAAAGTAGAACTAATGAATGGTTAAACAAACGCCATTGAAATAAGCACCTTGAATGAAATAATTTCGGGCTATGCTCTTCCTTATAAAATTATCCCTCAACAATTTGTATAACTAACTTATACAAAGAAAACAAAGCAATGAATATTAAAAAAACATTAAAGGCGAGAGCGGGCACATGAGAGAACCACCAAATTTCCGTGAGCTATCTAATTACCCTCCTTATACAGTTTTATGGAGGAATTAAAAGTCGCTGGCGGGATTCCATCGTATTATTAGCGAAAAGTAATCAAGAAAAATACAAATTTAAAAAAAAAACATTTATCAATATAAAACGCTGTTATAGTTTTGCAATTATATTTAGGACAGACAATCAATTTCTTAAGTTTTATACTTAAATCATGTTAAAAAATGTTTCTTACTTAAAGCAAGGAAAGTTCATGCTAGCAAAAGATTCACTAGAATGGCCTTTTTCTAAATAAAAGAACATATAAACTATAGAAAATACGAGTAGAAAGAAGCGTTCAACAAATTTCCATTGAATATGTTTTGAAGAACACAAAACTGTATCAAATGAGCGGAAAAACAGATAAAAGAAACACGTCTTTGTTTATATACCAATATATATATGTATTTATTTTGCTCTGTGTAACAATATATTGAGTATTATTAAAAAACAGAATTTAATATGTATGAAATTTACAAGAAAAAACATTGCGTTATAAAAACAGTCAATTTCATACTGTCTTGCTATTCAGTCAGTACCCATATGAAATCTTCCAGAAAGGAATGAATGATTTTGTCTAGGTTAAATGTTGGACAAGTCCATAACACGGTAAGTGGTAAATAGAAATGTTAGCTACTGTATAATTAGACATTTATGCAATCAACAAACGGGCAGGTCATCTAGTATATGATAGAAAAATTGTCGTCTGCTTTTATTGTCGTCTGCTTAAATTTTCAATTTCATAAAAAAATATTCTCAATAAAAAAAGAAAGCAAATATAATGCAAACACAAATATTGTTACGATGTTGAATTTATAAAATGGATTTGCTATATGTAAAATTTGAAACAATATAACAGTTAATAAAATTTCGAAATGAAAATACAAACATTCAGTAGCTGAAAGCATAGAAGTTGGCCAGACCACACTGATGTACATGCAAGCCATGCATTTAAAAAGGTGGCCAATGCTTTTAATAGCCAAATGATTGATGATAGCAAGTGGTAGCCAAAGGGATGATTTCTGCAATTAGCAACCGTATTTTTGGTAGCAGCAACGTTTAGTTAAATGGGTGATTACTGCAACTAGTGGTCGATAGGGTGATAACTGTTACTAGTATCCAAAGGGGTGATAAGTGCAACAAGTACTCAAGGGGATGATAACTGCAACAAATAGCAAATGGGATGAAAACTGCAACTAGTATCCAAACGAGATTATAAGTGTAACGATTGCTATTTAAAAAAAACAAAGAGTAGTATTTACACATTACTAAAATTTTATGTACATCTGAATCAAGAAAACACAAGCCGATCTCTTTTAAGTCTGTTCCTTAGTATCGTTCCGCAATACTTAATGTTAAAAACTCTTAAATATACTTGCCAAAATGATTGCCAA